GCTGTGTTTTGAGGGACTACTGGGATCTCCTTCACCACTTTTCTAACTATAGGTAGTTCCCCCCCAACTTTCCTATGTGGCATGGATGATTCTTTTAAAGTAATAACAATAATAATGATAATAACAACAATCTAAGATTTTCAAAGATATTGACACTGAAAGGTTGGGATGAAAAGAGCCAGGGACAGGAGACAGGGAGGCAGATGGTAAGCACAGAGCAGTGTCTGATGGTCTCCTTCCATGACATTCTGTGTCTGGGTTTTCCTGCCTATTTAGATATAATCATGGGCAGCAGGAGCAGACAGAGAGGCCCTGCCAGACTATGCCCTCCTCCAATCTCCCAGCACACATTGGCTGCCTAGTTAGAGACGCCACACTTATCAGTGTATGGGACTCTCAGGAATACAGCTGGATGCGCACTTATGCCAAAATGCTCTGCAGCTAGAGTCCTTGGGTGGTGGGAGATCCTAGCTCCGCTGTTTGATTTCTGTTCTGTCTGCGACTGTAATTCTCCAGAGGGTTTGCGCTGGCCTTTCTCCCACCACCATATGGCAATGCTGGCCTACCAAGCCGGGTTCTCATGTCACAGTAGGAAATACTCAGTGAGTGCTCATCTGATAAGAGGGATAATAGCAGGAAGGTTATCGTAATTTGAGACTTAGGAGCATTTCTTTGTCTCACAAGTCAGGAAATTGAATTATATGGATGACTGACCACTTGGCTGTCTGGTCCTAGTCCTGTCACTTAGTAGTGTTGAGAACTGCCTCTGTTTCTCCTTGCTATACACCTAAGAATATACTTGTCATTTCGCAAATATAGTATTAAGATAGTTATATCATATTTTATGATATTTAAAATACTTTAAAAGTTCTCAAAGAAACGTGTTAGTCCCAGGGTCTCTTAATAATGGGTATTTACAGTCTAAATTTATTGCAAAGAATATTTCATGTAATAATTTTCTATCTTTCTAATTGGAGTTAGAAGTTAGCTAAAATTTCATTGAGTCTCTTTTAACTATTTCAACTAATGGCTGAATCCACTATTCCTGTGAACTGTTATCAAAACAGCTAATAAAATATATAGGATATTCATGATAGATGAAAATAGCTAGCAGTTAATAAGTATTTGTTACATATCAGCCATCCAGTTACATAGCAGCCGATATCATTGTTTTCCAGACAGAAAACTGCATTACAACAGGCTTATGTAACTTTCTCAAGGTTACAGGGCTATCAGGCAAACTTGACAATCAGCAGTACTGCTTCCCTACTATTTGGGGAGAAGTAACTAGAAATATGAGGGGACAGATGGTTGACAGAAGGAAGATAAAAGAGACTATTTAAAATCTTCACTATCTTTCCCTTTAGTTAAAGGAGAGGAAGGAATGAGCACTCATCAGGGGGAAAATGGCTGAGCACTGCCAGGAGGAGACTCAGCGCCAATGCTTTAACCCTTGCTTTGTACAACTGCTTAGTAAGTTCTAGTGTATCGCCTAGGAACCGACACTACGATAGACAATCAATATGCACGATCTCCTTTTCTGGTCATAGCAACCTTGAGAGGGGTATTGTCTCCACTTTACAATTGCACCAGGGCTCCAGGTTGTCCAGTAGCTCCAAGCCACCCATAAAACGGAGGCCAGCTTGTTGCTTTCTCCAAATCTGTCAGGAAGTTTGTCACAGAAGTAGACATGGAATTCAGACCTGCGAATGGCATTTCTCCCTGAACTCCCTTCTCTTTGCCTTCTGCTCGATTTATCAGTGTTTCTGGCATTTCACTATGGAAAATTGATTCCTTTCTTCACACATCCTCTGCTCTCTAGCCTCTTGCCACTGCCGAGACATGCATTCCTGACCTCCGAACAGACGAATCTAACGGGAAGAGTAGCCATGGGCGTCTGAATGCTGTGCTGTTGACATGGTTCTTTTGAGCATAGTGCCTGAAACAAGCACAATCCTCTCTGTGCAGTATCTCAGAATCTTTGCTTTGGCTCCACATCTCTGCATCCCTTTCCTTCTCTTGAAATGTAGCCACACCTTTGGGCAGAGTTAGGGTTAGGCAGGGGGAATGGCTGGTCCCGTTAGGTTTTCTTTTTCTCAAAACAAAAGCAGAAAGTCCCCAGAAGAAAGGGAAGAACCTATTTGGGGATCTCTGAAAAGTAGCATTAAAGAGTGAGGACAGACCAAGAGAGGGAAACATTTAAAATGTCTGAAATGCAAAACATCATGACTGGTGATTCATAAAAGGAGACATTTTAAAACTATGGTGAGATTTTAAGCTGGAGAATTAATGGAGTAAATCTTTGGTGAAAAAGAATGGTTGTGATTTTGCTTCAGGTTTTTTATTTTTATTTTCTATTTGTTTTGGAAGGTCTGTTGTTTGTTTAGAGTAGGTTGTCAGATAACATGTTGCTTCAACATGATGCTAAGCATAGAGACCTATCAGGCAAAGGGAGACTTTCTCATTGTCTGAGCTCAGGCCCACTGTTGTGCAGATGAGCCCTGGTTAATCTTTGAAATGCTCCATCTATGTTACTGTCAGTCATTGATTCATCTAGGACAAGGATTTCCTGGCTTGTTCTTTAGCATCCTAAAGGTTTTCAGTAGTTCTTTAAGAACCACTGTCAGTAACTAGTAAGGGCTTTGCTCCACATAGGGATTCTGCTCAAAACTAGATCACAAGGGGAATTGCTAAAGGTTGAAGATTTTGTGAAAACTTAGGGGTATTTTCAAGTTTTAGGTTTGGAAATTGACCTAACCCATGAGAGTAGGAAGGCCATACTGCATCTGGAAGGGATAACCTATGTGAGGGGAGGGTTGTCCCCTGTGATGTCCCCAGAAGTGTCCTCAGCTCTCAGTGCACGGCTGGCTGCACCCTTCTCCCCTTGCAAGATTTCTAGTAAATCTTGAAAGGGGCTCAGCCCTCACGTCCATGGTGGCTTGCCTCAGCCCTCGTAGTCCCAGCTTCATTCGGAAGATTGTCCAGAAGGACATCCAGAAGTTCATTTGGCTGTCTGCTCTAATTAGCATATTACTCTTCTATTATTATAAATAGTCCTGTCCATATTGTACATTGTCATATAGGATAGGTCATATTGCTCATATAAACTATTTTTACTTATCAATATATTGCAACATCATTAAACTCCTAAATATAAATTTTAATAATGTACAATATTCTGTCACATGTATTTAACAATTTTCCCACTGGAAATTTAAATTGATTTATTTATTTTACTTTTTGTTGTTGTTGTTGTAAGAAATGATACTCTGAACGTATTTGTCCAAATTTTTTTGTCAACATTTCTAATTATTTCCTTAGGATAAATTCCTAAAAGTGAAATTTCTGGGCAAAGAATATCACACTCAACATATTTTTCTATACTTCTTTCCAGAAATGCTAAGTTATTTTCCCATAGTGAAGCATAATAATGAAGAATTTCAGCTGACTGCCATGAATGCAATGCTTTATTTTGTCAGTAAAGAAAAAGAAAATTTTTATTAGAAAATTACTTTTTGGCTGCAGTAGCTATTTAAAGTAGAAGAGTGCATGGAAACATGAGGAAATTGTGTGAGGAAACTTTTTTCTTCTAAATATGAGTGTGAACAAAATGTACCAGTAAAGACACATAGCAAAGATAGTAATGTGGGGCACAGTTATTGATCAATTGAAATTTCCCGAAAACATTGAAAACTTTGCTCCCTGAGCACTCTCACTGGGATATAAGCACAGCTTATGCCTCAGACATACAAGTGTGGGACTTTCAAAGTGCTGAGAATTAGATGTAACATTTGGAGTCTGAATTTAAAACATTTGGTTTGCTCTTACTAGTGTGGTTTGGTTGAATGCCATCCTATGCAGTGAAAGGTTGCCAGTTTGATTCTAGGTCAGGGCATAAGCCCAACTTGTGGGTTCCATACAGTTTGATGTTTCTCACTCTCTTTTCCTTTCCTTTCCTCTCTCTCTCAAAATCAGTAAAAACACATTAAAAACATAAAACACATTTGGTTAGAAGTGAGAGCACTAACAACTCTCATTCTGGACTGTTTTCCTAGTCAACTGATGTTAATTGGGTGCCTGGGTTCAAATCATGGCTTTCCTGCATGTTAATTGTATGAATTTGGCCAGGTCTATGACACTCTATAAACAGAAGATGTTAGCATCATGGTGAGGAGCTCAGTACTTCGTTTGGGGCTGTGCTGTCTAGTATGGCAGCCCAGTGTGGTTTCTGAGCACTTCGGATGTGGCCAGTCATATGCCCTAAGTATGCAAATGCACATCAATCCCAAAACCTAAGTACAAAAAAGAAATCTACTTTATGATTAATTTTTATATTGTTACATAATGAAGTGATACTGTTTTGGATATCTTGGCTCCTGATAAAACACATTATTAAAATTAGTATATTTCTTTTACTTTTAAAATGTGGCTTGCATTATGTTTTTATTAGATAGCACTGCTCTGGAACATAATAAAGGCTGCATAAGTATTTTTTAAAGGAAATTAAGGTGGTGGTTTCTGCTTTGTGGGGTTGCCTCGTTGTCATTTTATCTTCTAGGGCGTTCCATTCTTAGGGCACCGTAAGGCATCTGCATGGAGTCCTCTGATTTAGATAGTTTAGAAAAGGCTGGGTAAGGATGATGCCTAATATTCATTGTTTGTTAGAGGAGTGAGTAGAGAGTTTAAAAATAGCATCCCCCTCCCTCCTTCCGTTTCATGCTGATCCCTCCTGAGTTATTTCTGTTGGCCTCATTACGAACTGACATTTGATTCATTCAGTGAGCCCCGCCTAGGTCATTTAAAACAGAATGGACAGTTAGTGAAAGGTCAAAGCCACTATGGCTGGTGGTAGCTGCGCTGGGCCATGACAGACTGAGGAGACTGAGGGAGCAGGAAGAACCAGCATGGCAAAATGCTTGGTCAAGATCCAGACTCGGCGGGGCCTCCGCCTGCAAATGGTGAACCACTGCAGCAGTGATGTGTTCGTCCGTCTGCTGAGACACGGCTCCAAGATCACAGCTAGGAACGCGGGTAGGTGCCCTGCCCTGGGCTGTCATGCCGAGACTGGAGAAGGGTGCGCACTTCCAGCTTCCTGCTGGCCACTGGCAGCTGGGCGGGAGGCCAAGGGCGAGCCTAGTGTCAGAGGTTTGTGATAAGATGGGCCAGAGAGAGGGAGGGAGACAAAATAAAGACACGCAGTAAGGACAGTGAGTAAACCAATCTGAAGGGAAAATGGGAAGGCCTGAAATGGGGATCCCGGCTCTCTTACAGAGTGAAAATGGTGTGAAGTCATACAAGCTAATAAATTACACTCTAGGCAGCAGGTTAGGAAGGAGGCAGTAGTAGGGTGGTGCTCAGGAATGATGGAAGATAATGAGAACAGATTGCCCAATCAAAGCGAAACATGCTCCCCCTCCTTTCATTGTTTCAAGGGTTAAATCTTCAGATGAGCTGAACCCCCTTTATGCTCAAAGCAGTTTTATTGAAACACCTTCTCAGTTAAACAATTGGAATCAAACTGATGTTCTATTTTCTTTTCATTGAAAATATCACAGTTTGTGGTTCTTGGGGGAAATGGGAATTAAAAATGAAATTTTGAAACTCAGAGCTTATCTATAGCAGGAATGAGGGTGCTGATTGTCTATGTCTATGTCCAACTATATATCTATTTCTATCTCTATCTCTATATATGTGATTTTCAGCTAATTAAAAAATCCTGGGAAGTGTTTGGATTGGCCATACCTCATGCATAGATGTGGAACTGACTTTGAAGTGAAATTAATTTTATTTAGATGATATGTTCTTATAAAAGATTTTTAAAAGTACCAATATATAGAATGTTTTCCTTGACCCTAATACTCCCAACAACCATATGTATATTGACATGTACAAGAATGGAATTGTTCTGTATTATTTTATAACTTGTTTTTTCACTTTGTCATATGACTTGAAGGACTTTCCATATGAATTCATATTGCTCTGTATCCTTTTAAAAATGGTTGAATAATATGTAGCATAGAGATAAGTAGTTTAATCACTAAATGATTGTTGGAAATTGGTGTTTCCTGTTTATTGGCTATAACAGGGCTATGATGAACAGGCATACACTGGCATTTCTCTACAATAGATTCTTAAAAATGTTATTGTTGAGTTTAAATTTTGATGAAATGGGCAAATCATCCTCTAAAAAACTAACATTCACTAGCAAAATATGAAAATGTCTACTGCCCATAATCACTAACTCTAATATGATCTTATTTTAATTTACATGTCCCTTGTTACTAAGGAGAGTGAGCATCTTTTCAAATGAAACTGACCATTAGTATTTCTCCTGGGAATTGCTTATTTACTTTGCAAATTTCTGTTGTGTTTTTGTCATTTCCTTATGGATTTTAGGGATTTTTTTATAATCTGCATATTAATCCTTTGATTTTTATAAATATTAAGTATTTTTCTCCTACTTTGTTCTCAGCTTTCGACTTTTTAAAATATTAGCCTTGTGACACAGACACTCAAAATTAAAAAAAATATTTTTATTGATTTCAGAGAAGGAAGAATGAGAGATAGAAATATCGATGATGAAAGAGAATCATGGATTGAGCCCACAACCTGGGCATGTGCCCTGACTGGAAATTGAACTGTAGCTGCCTGGTTCTCACAGGGCACTGAGCCACACTGGTCAGGCAAAATAGGCACTTTTTATATGCACAACAACTTCTGCATGTAAAAACTACGTAATTTTTGTATATTCTTTTTTTTGGTCAGTTTTCCTTACTCTTAAGGTTATAAAAATGTCTTGTGTTCTTTTTTTTTCTTTGCAATTAATGCATTAGCTCAACTGCTTTTAACATACAAAAATGACAATTTCATATAGTAGTTTGTTCTAACATTTGTTTTTATTTAAGCCGTTATCTTCTTTGGAATTTTTAAGTATACATAACATGAAGCAATTGGTTAGCAGTTTTGCTCAAAGTTATCATGCTCTGAAGTTAGTATTCATGCTCCGTTACTAACTTACAGTATAGTTGTGATATCAGGTAGGTCAAGTTCCCCTTCATCAATCTTTTCTCAACCTCAGATTCCTTAATTTTCATGTGGACTGTCTCCATTTGTCATTTTTAAAAAGACATTGAGATTTGTATTGGAACTGCAGTGAATTTTAATTTATTTAGAGAAGAACTGCATCTTCAAAACAGGAAGCTCTCCTGGTCAGAAAAATCTGCATGTTTCTTCATGTGTTCCCCCACACTCCCTGATTTTCCTTTATGATGCTCAGCTCTGTTTTAACAATGTCCTCAGGCAAGTTTTGCATATTTCTTATTCTAGATATTCTTGGATATTATGTGATTATTCTAATTTGTGCATTTAGCTACTTTGAATGGGATTTTCTATAATATTTTTATATGTCTTTCTGGTATGTAGTAAACCACTACTTTGATATGTTGTTGCTACATTTGAATACCTTACTGAATTCTGATTAATTATCCTAGCTCTTTATTTGAATTTTTGGCTTGCTAGATAATAGTTTCACCTGGAAGTAGTTTGTGCCTTCCTTTCCAGAGTTTACACTCCTTATTTTTTGTCTTTTCATATTGCATTCTATGGGCCTCCAGAATGACACTGAAGAATAGTGAGGGTTTTTGTCATGTTCCCGACTTTGGTGTCATGATTGATTGCGATGACAGAGAGATTCACAAGATGGTGCGACAGCTGCGTCAGTTAGGATGCCATTAGCAACAAGTAACAGAGAACGCTAACAAACACTGGTTTAAATAAGGTGATTTATTATCCAAGACAACAAGTCCCGAGTCGGGAAGGATTCCAGCATTGAGAACCCAGGTTCATTTAATCTCTGGCCCTTCTCAGTTGGCCAGAAGTCCCCGCAGACCATTTGCTGTCGGCATCACAGGGCTGCCAGAATTCCTGGTGTCTCAGATATAGATTCTTTCTCTTGACATCGTTGTACCTTTCCGGGATGCTCTTTTTAGAAGCACGAAACCTTTCTCAGAAGTTTCTCCTTGTTCCCATCAAGACTCTTCCCTTTTCATTTTCAGCATTGGCTCACATGCCCATTTCTTAATAGACACCATCACGAGACTGGAATTACCATGATTGGCTTAGATCAGTGTTTCCCAAAGTGTGGTACGCGCACCCCCAGGGGTACGGGAAGAGTTTGGTGGGGGTACACATTGCACCGGAGTTTGGTGGGGATATGTACTGCACCGTGCTTAGCTGCGCCTAATTCTACATTCTCATGAGTACGAGGGGTACTCAGCGTTACGAAAATTATAGAAGGGGTACACATATGTCAAAAGTTTGGGAAACACTGGCTTAGATGAATCATCTAGGAGAGAAATGGACGATAAGGAGTCAACCATGGGAAATAGTAGATAACTTATCTCCATCAGAGTAGTAATGGGGACAGGAGAGTTTTCCCAGAGGAAGTGAGACACAGAGTTTTAAAGAATGGGTAGGAGCCATCTGAGTGCAGAAGGGCATTCCAAGGAGAGGCAACAGTGTGTAAAGGCAGAGGCATGATGGAGCATGACACATGTGGGCACCTCTAGATAGATGAAAGCCTGTGGGGTAGAGAAGTGTGTTTGTGCTAAAGAGCTTAATCTTTAGCCAGAAAGTCACGAGCATCCTTTTCAGAAGGGAATTCATGTGACTAATTAGGCATTTTGGAATGATTTTTCTGACAACAATGAGGAAGGAGCCAGACTGAGATCAGGGAAACCAGTGGTAAGAATGGAGGAATGGAGAGGCAGGGACAGCTCTGAAAGTGAACACGATAGCGGAGTTTGCAGAAGTTGGTGACAGACTAGTTGCAAGCAGTGAGTGAGAAGTCTTGATTACTTCTCAGATTGCTCTCGAGGGAGACTGGATTACGGTAGGTGGTAGAGGGAAAGGCTTGGGGGAAGGATGATGATGATAATTTGATTTTTGACATATGGAGATTGATGTGTTTACCCGTTTGCATGGTGAGTCGAACTGATAAGAAGCTTTCAAGTTGAGGTGGGCCAGAGATTGAGTAACATGCGGAAACTAAGTGATATTCTTCCAAGGCCGCTGGTCTTCACAAAACCCACAGCAGGTTTGAAGGAATAAACTTTATTATTAATCTACCTCAAACACTAGAGGCTAAAATTATAGTAGCTTATTTACAAGTGCTGCTTGTGGTCCAGGCAGGGCTAGGCCTTGCACTTCTGCAAACACACACAAGCACAGCCTCCACGCAGGTAGGGCCACTTTCCACCTTCAGCACATAAAGAACAATCTTGATGGCACTGCAGGGCCACAAGGTACTCCTACATTCTTGGGGATCTCTATAGGATCAGCCTCCTTGCTGGGGTCCTTCTCAGGGCTGATTTTCTGGGGGTACTGAAACATTTAGGTGCCTCTCCAGGTAACTGTGACAGATGTTATGAAGCAGAGGCAGCCAGCTCTTTAGCGGCCTTCTTGGCAATTCTGCCTTTGAATTGGGGACCGTGCTCTCCAATTTGGCCACCAGGGAGTACTTCTGGCCAGAGAATTCTTGGGACCCAGGGAAGATGAGCCGACTAAGCTGTGCTGCACTGACTGCTGGTCCACAAGAGAGCTTTTGGGTATGCAGAAGTTATGCAGGGAGCCAGACCCACTCCTGCCATGGGGAGGCTGGAGAACCAGTGAGTCCCGTGGGCCTGGAGAGGTCCTTGTAAACCTCAGCTTGGAGGCAAACAGCTACTTTGACCTCTCGCCCTTGGGGTCCTGGGATATATCAGACAACAGACTCCAGTCTCCCTGTCTTTGACTTGTTGAGTGTTGATTCCTCATCTGATATCAAGATGATGTGGCTGGAGCCAGGGTTGGGGACAGAGTCCAGCAGAAATGCACTGGCTGAGGTGATGCTTGGCACTGTGGCACTTGCTGATGCCAATCTGCACCATGGGTACCAGTTGGCACTGTGCAACACTATTCTTGGGCATGCAGATCAGCGCTGTGAAAGACTCAGGGATGGGCGAAGCAGCATGGGTCACCCTCCACATGACGGAACCATTGTTCCCTGCCACCATGGCCAGCTGCTCCACCTCATCCTTATTGCAGAGATGCTAGGAGCTCAACTGGCTGCTTTGCGTCTGCCTGTGAGACCGCCT